TTCAAGCAACAGAACACTTACGCAGAAAAATGCTAGAGATTTGCTTAGATGTGGAATGATCCCTTTCCTTCATCTCCTCAAAACGAACTTATTCTTCACTGCTAGCTTCAATCAGATTTCTGGCCAAAAGTCCTATCATCAGGGAGTCAATTTTGCTCCCTTGTGATTCGGCACTCTGAGCTCACTCCTCATCTAGATCTCTCTTTAGTTATGTGTATTTGTATGTATTCAGCCCAATAAACTTAATTACAAGCTCCTTGAGAATCAGGGGTTTCACCTCATATTTCATTGTGTCGACTACTTTGGGTCTAACACAATGCTTTATTGATTATGGGGTCACCCAAGTCCCAAACTTTCACCCTAGCTGGGAAGGGCATAATTGGAGACAGATTCATATCAAGTCTACAGCATATTAATTCTTGATTTCTAATTGTGAATTACAATTTTGGTATCTTAGGTTTGCAAATGCTGGTTTGAATAACTCAACATTACCTTATGTTGGAATAGTAACTGCATTTGCAAGGTTAATGGCAAATTTCAGAGCAAGCCTGTCCCTTTCAATCAAGAAACTTTCACAATTTCCCGCTGAAAGATTATAACATGATATTTCTTGTTTGTATAGACACAGAATTTCAAGTTTTAGACTAAAGTTTCCTCACAATTGCACTACCTCTATTAGTTTCATTTTTTACCACACTGAACAAATTCCTGTTTTGCAGTAGGACAAAGAAATGTCATAATAACTTTATTGATAAAATTTCTAGCCACATCTTAAAGCTAAATTTTCAAAAGATTCTGAAATAGAAGTTGTAGGAGTAACTGGAACCTACTCCATTAAGTAAAAGATGAGGCTTAAATGCACTAAAAAAAAATCCTTAAAATGTTGAACAGAACAAATCCTTTGACATTTATTCTGTTATTGGTGCTGCCACTTCTTTTGCTATCTCAATAGTTAAGGCTTTATAATTTGGAACCCAACAAAACAAAAGATAACAGGTGACAAAAGTAAAAATAATGCCTAAGGAAGTGTGAAAACAAAAATTTCTGTTCTGCATATCAGAACAAAGTCCCAAGGTCACATGATTCATAGTTTATATATTATGAAAAGTAAACTACCATTAAAAAGTTTTAAAAAATGTTCTACCTCAATTTAAAGACTGCAGGAGGATCCTTTTTAATTTTTTTTTCTTCTGGAGAAAGATTTTGATCTTTGTTCTTGGAGTCACATTTCCAGAAGGACTAGGAAACAAAGTTTAATAATAAAAAGGAATGGGCACTTCTCCCAGAAATTCTGGAACCTATCTTGTATACATTCTTTTAAACAAACTATATCAACACAAGAAAATATGTGAGTTTATAGAGAACACTAACTTCCTTTGGGTTTGAAACACCAGGACAAAGGGAATGAGCTGTAGGAAGACTTAGTGAGGCTCAGAAAGACAGAAAAGAGTTGGGAAATTCTAAAGCAGCCACGGTTAATACGTGCTTAGGAAAAATAATCGAGGTGATTTCAGACAGTTATAACCCAGGAAAGCGACCGAGGACACTGCTCTCTGTCTTCTGAAACAGCTGCTTAATGTGCTGATGTGCACCCCAAATCCCCGAAATGTTGGGCCAGGATTAAGGGAAAATCCTGCTATTATAACAAGTTACTACTCCACAGCACCTAATTATCATCTGCAGTCCTGGTGGCCTTATCAAAGGATGTTTAGCAGAGAAAAGCAACTCCAGTGGCCAGTAACAATGGCCACTCAATTATAATGGCCCCTATTGTATGCCAGGCACTATCCCTCACATCTACCTTATGAGGATTGACACTTTTATAATACCCATTTTACAGAAGAGGAAATCGAGGCACAGAGAGGTTAGATAACCGACTGAAGGTCACACAGTCACTAAGTACTGGAGCAGGATTGAAACCGAGGCAGTCTGGCTCCACGGGTTCTATTTCTGGAATTCCACACCACCTCTCTAATGCTATCCTTCCAAGAATGAAGAACTGTGATGGAAAGAGTGAACATATGGAGTACCTTCCACAAGTGAATTTGGAAATCAGAATGCCCTCAGAGTTAAAGGATCAATTGAGATTGGCCTCAACCATAGGTCTGCCAAGTCACCTTAAGGAGACTGAACGACTCCCAGCACACTGAACGCCTCCACAACCAAACAAAAGTATTAGCCTGTCTAGGGAGGCAATCTGATATCTCAGGTGGGCCCTGGCGAGCCATGAAAGTGGGGAAAAGGAGTCAGCGCCAGCTGGTCCCAGGGAGCATTGTCCAATGGAGGGGCACCATGGGCTGACTGAAGCGTCCATCCCAGGCGGAGGCAGTGAAGCAGGCCTCCAGCCTGAGAATCCCTGATACAATTTACCCCATGTAGTTTGATAACAGCGAGAACGTGCCCGGAGCAGGCAATATAAGTATCCGGTCTGCTAAAAATTAACAACTGGTATTTTGGTAAATAGACTTGTGTGTTTATCAGGGTGAATCAACTTCGTTGTATCTGATCAACTCCGGAGCGCTGCAAAGAATGAATTTCTGGAGTCTAGCCCTGCAAGGCCAAGGGCCAGATTTGGAACCAGTTTTACCAAGTCACATGCCACCTTAGAGTCTCCTGGCAACCAACCCATCTCCTTCTCCAGAGGCAACCTGACTTCGCTATATACACCATTAGAAAAATTGCACAAGACATCCTAAAAACATGTGGGGCTTTTCAGTCTGGAAAGATAAAGGCAACTCTATCATACACCCGAAGTCTACAAGAGTCTGAGAGAGACGGCTAGCATGAACGTGCAGTCATTTGCTGATTTCTGGAATAAGGAAAGTATAAAGTAAACTTTAAAAGTTAAAAAAGTTGTTTTTGGATAAATAGCTGCATATTCGTGGATATAAAATTTATTCCAGGGGGATGAAAATGTAATCCTTTAGGTGTTTACTGGGTACTCACTAAATTTAGAGGACTGAGCTGGGCACTTCCGAGAAAACATGAAAACCAAGAGATAACAAAGGCCCCGTTCTCTGCCTGCAGGTTGCTGGCAGCCTAGTAGAAGGGTAACACCAAGAGCCAGAGCTGCCCTGGAAAACAGGTTCATACGGGCGGAACAAAGGAAACAGAGACCAGTCTTTCGAAACCATCAGCGAGAACATCACCAGCTGTGCTTCCACGCCACGCTGTCAGGATCACCTGCAGCACCAATGCCCTCACTCTCTGCCTTGACTCCTGACCCAGCTAGCACTGTGTCAGCTAATCCTCTGGGGAACTCAGCTTAAGAAACAGTTTCTTTCCAGGTGTTATGTTCTTGAATAAACAGTGTCCCATTTTCAGAAAAACAATGTCTCCATCTCATTCCTCAGGCTGTCCCCTCCACCTACAGAAACATTTAAAATAATCCCAATAATCCAAAAGAAGAACAGAATAGGGAGATAGTTTCAGCCAGCATTCCAGACACAAGAGCCATTTCCACATCTGGGGCGTTCTCTAGCCTGTCCCAGGTGTGTCTGCACGAGCAGTCTCCCAGGGCCAAAAGGTGGCACCAACACCACCTCCATGGTCCAGGGAAGGAACAGAATGTGCAGAGAAATCGAGTCAGGAGCCTGGGAGAGCACCACTTCTGATTCCAGAAGTTCAGGCAGCTTAAAAGACTGGAAAGATTTAAGAATACGTGGGCGACTTTCAAAGCCAAGACCTTGACAAATCTGGTAACTGCACATACTTGTGCAAGTGGTGTAATAAGAATCATTACACCCATTCCGGAAGGGGCGTGTTCTCCTGAACTCCCCACACCTCCCAACTTCTTGCACAAGGTCAGCACAGAAAAGTAATTACAAAAACATAATTAATCCTCCTCTCTTAATATTACTTTTGAAGTCTTTCAAGTTTCTTTAGTTAATCTTGGTCTTCCTTATGGGGAGTAAAAGTGACAAATCCAAGGCTTTTGTTTGTTTGTTTTTTTTTTTTTAGGCAAAGGGTAGAGACTAGTGTCAATACCTGTAGGGATAAAATCTACTAAGGGGAGAGTTCATACTTAAGTAAATGCCCTTTGGCATTTCAGGTCTGTCTTCGCTTGCTGTGTATCTTCCCGCAAATTACTGTCGGCCCTCCCTATCCACGGTTCCGCATCTGCGAATTCAACTAACCTTGGACGGAAAGGCCTATGATGGTTGTGTCTGTACTGACGATGTACAGACTTTTTTTTCTTGTCATTATTCCCTAAACAATACAGTACAACAACTGTTTACATAGCATTTACATTATATTAGGTATTATAAATAATCTGGAGATATTAGATATTATAAATAATCTGGAGATGATTTAAATGAGAGGATGTGGGTAGGTTATATGCAAATACTACGCCATCTTATATAAGGGACTTGAGCGTCCGCGGCTTTTGGTATCCGCAGGGGTTCTGGAACCAATCCCCCCACCCCACCGCGAGGGATGACTGTACTGAGTTTCTCTCAGTCTCAAATTTTCTCATCTGTAGAATGGGGATAATAATCCTATTTAGGATTATAGTGAATATTATATCGAAAAAACCGTAAATCCCTTTAGCATACTGTCTGGCACATATGAAGCTGACAATACCAGGTTGCACTTCTTAGCCTTTTAAACCAAAGTCATTGTCAATCAACAAGAAAAAAACTCCGGCAGCCTGGAATCATAGCCCGCTATGATGTGAATAAATATATTTAGATGCCCTTTGGCTGGCGCTTTCAGGACCAGCAGAGGCTCAGCAAGCCAAGAATGGTTCAGGAGCGAACGGATCTGCCTGTCCAGAATTCTGGCCCACACTTTTTAAGTTGGCAGAAGCACGCCCCGTGGCCTTCCCGGGGGCCAGCCCCGAGTACAGCAGGGCTGGAGCCAGGCGGGCCAGGCCCCCCGCGGAAGCGCGCTCCTTGGCGTGCACCCAGGACCCAGACAGCCGCTGGAAGTCAACCTGGCCGGCCGCGGGCTGGGGCGGCGGGCGCAGCGGGCTCTACCCCGGGGCGCGCACTGCTCACCTGCCTGGCTCGGCGACACCGCGGCGACCAAGAGCAGCAGCAGCAGCGGGGGGAGCGGCGGGGCGGGCGGCGCGGGCAGCCCGAGGCGCCCGTCCGGGCGGTGGCGGGCCATCGCTGCGGCCGGCGGTGGCGGCTGTTGGCGGAGCGGCTCTCGGGCTGGCAGCCGGCGCCGCGTCTCGGAGGTTGGGCGTCCTAACTTTCCTTTTTCATTCGCCCTGCCTGTCCGGGGCTTTTAGAGAGGAGGAAGCTTCACGTGGCCTTGGGAACAACCTTTGCCCTGCTGGGCCCCCAGCGTGGGAAGGGCGGGTCCTGTCTGACCCTCTGGCTGCCAGTAGGTCGTGCTAGGAAAGTTCCCCAGGGGCACGTCGAGGATCTGTCGGGCCACGTGCCACTTTCTCCGCGCTCGTCGGGCAGTTTTGCGGCTCACGGCTGGAACAGATCAGTTCACATCAACGCCACTAGCCTCTGGCTCCAGGGCCGGCCGGCCTCTCCTCTGTCGCAGCGGGGATGAGGCACCCTGAGCAGTGGTGAAATGCATGCCCCCGCCTACACGCAGCTCTGATTCTTCTGGAGAGATCTTCACAGGTCCCTTACCTCTCAGGGATCAGAGCCCCTCCATCCCAGGCTGTTCAACTTCCATCCGTTTGCTGCAGCTCAAGAATCTGGATCGTTTGCTTTTCTCTTCGTTCGCTGGAGCCACCACTGGAGAGTGATTCAGACGGGGCTGAAACTGGTATACCCCTGAGCCCCTGTGAAGTCCCCATTTCTGTGCAGGGTCAGTTGAAAGTGACATTGTGATGTAGGCAAAACTATGCCTTGGGTGACATTGTGAAGTTGGCAGAGGGTGCCCTAGGTGACATTGTGAAGTAGGCAAAAGACATTTTATTCATTCAATAAGTTTTCCTTGAGCCCATCTTGTGTGCCAGGGACCAGTGATATGTAGACAATTAAGAGCGTGCCTACCACAGGCAAGAAGGGGCAAAGCCCTATGAATAAATGGGTACTCGGAAGTTGCCACTGGTGCTGTAATAGAGCTACGCTTAAGGTACAGTGAGGGAACCTGGGGTGGGACAAGCCACCACACAGCTGGGGGCCTAGGCACCTTACTCTTCTCCTTGGTCATTGTTCTAAGCCTAACTGAGCTGTTAAGGGGAGACGGGAGGGGAGGACAAGAGGTACCTCTCCTAGAGGGGAAAATACATATGTAATTGTTAGAAAAGACACAGAACAGTGACATCAGATCTCTGTGCAAATTGTTCAACACAAGTCCTAAGTCATAATTTCATTTGGTGACAGCACCTATCACAGTACTTGGATGACAATATCATTTAATGAATTGAAGGAATTGAGGACTTCGTAAAAAATGCACATTTTTCTTAGATCCAGAAAATGAAAATGAAGGCAAATTCTGAAGATTTTGGTTGTGCCACGTTGAAGACAAGTACATTAGGACATTCAAGGCAGCTGTCCCTTGGGAGTATTTTAGTCATGCTACCTCGACCACCCTCCTCCCTGTCACTAACCCTTCCAATCCAAGGAGCCACGTGTTGGGATGTGATCATGTGTATGAGAATGTCTGATGTGAACTAAAAGGCATTCATTCGTCTGTTACTTAGTCATCCAATATTTGCTGACTACCATGTTCCAGGCATAGAGCAGTAAACAAGATGGACAGGGTCCTGCCCTCGCAGAGCTTGCATTCTAGTGGGGGAAGCAAATTATATATATAAACAAACTAATTGGATTAGGGGTTCTCAGCCTCAGCATTGTGACATTTTGGACCATACAGTTCTTTGTTCTGGGGGAGTTGTCCTGTGTATCCCCTGGTCTTTACCCACTGGATGCCAGTATCACTCTCCCCCGCCGCCCCCAAGTTGTGACTATCAAAAACGTCTTCAGACATTGCCAAATGTGTCCCTAGGGGACAAAATTGCCGTCAGTTGAAAATCACTGAATTAGATGATGATGAATCTTGCCTTCCATATCTGGGAAGGAAATGAGCAACAAAACTCCTACCAACGCTGAGGGGAGGATGACCAAAGATGTTTACTGTGAAATGTTTTTATCACTTCTGTAGTAGACATGTGTGGTTTGGGGCTACTTACCATCCATTTCTCTATTCCTGGTAGCAGTTTTCCCTGAATCTGGACTCCACTGGTTTAGAAGTTTCAGTGAACAAGGGAGGAGGTTTGTTTGCACCAAGAGACACAATAATAGTTGCATTGACTCGGAATTATTGCTCCCTGGTCTTTATTGGGCTCCCCTGAAAAACATGGGTAAGAATAGGATTACAGTTTTGGTTAAAGTGATGGAGGCTGACCCTCAAATGGAAATCGCACTGCTGCACAGCAGGAGACAGGAGCAGAAGGGCTCAGGGGAGTCCCTTGTATCACCACATCCTACTGAAATGGCTAATGAAAGTGCTGTCACCTCACCTGGGCAGCACCACGGGGGACTCAGGCTCCTCACCCAATGGGCAAAGAACCCCAACTACCTGAGATGCTGGCCCAAACCCAGGGGAAACATGGAAAGAAGGTAGAGAAAAGAAGTTATGGGGGCCGGCCCGGTGGCGCAGTGGTTAAGTTCACATGTTCTGCTTCTTGGCGGCCCGGGGTTCGCTGGTTCGGATCCTGGGCGCGGACATGGCACCGCTTGGCAAAAACCATGCTGTGCTAGGCATCCCACATATAAAGTAGAGGAAGATGGACATAGATGTTAGCTCAGGGCCTGTCTTCCTCAGCAAAAAGAGGAGGATTGGCAGTAGTTAGCTCAGTGCTAATCTTCCTCAAAAAAAAAAAAAAAAAAAAGAAGTCATGAATATCTATAGCCAGGTGACCAGTTGTAGAAACAGAGATAGCAGCCTCTATCTATATTTCTTTCCTGGCTGTAACATATATACAGTGGATTCAAAATTTTACAGTTCCAGAATGAAATATACATAATGGAAATTTGTTTCTTTTCCAAAAGGTATAATTAACTTAGCACTCAAGCACTCATTTACTGACAGTAGAAATTTTAGAATGCCAAATTTAAGGTTACTCAGTCTTATTTGGGCTAAATCCTTAGCATCCTTTGACTCCTCCATATCCTTCCCCTCTTTCCTTCAAGTTGATCTTAGTTTCAGGGGCCTTATGTATTGACCTGGCATTGGATAAGGGACATCTACTCTGTGTGTCATCCTCTTGGCTTGGGGGCCTCCACTAAGATGTAGTTTCTCTCTTCTGGTCCTCATTGTGGTGTGCAGGAATGCACTGCTGGCATCTGTGGCTCTTGGCCTCAGGTCTAGATTCCTACATACTCATTGTGTTAGTTAGGGTAATGCTAACTACTATGACAAATAGACTCCACAAGTACAGTGAGGTAATGCCACAAAAATTTGTTTTTGGCACATAAACCAATCCAATGTGGGAGTTCTTCCCTGGTAGGTGTCTTTTCTTCCTGTAGAAACTTGGGAACCAGCCTCCTTTAATCCCGTGGTTCCACCATTCTCTAAGGCAGAGGTTCCAAACTTCCTTGGTTCATAGTACTCTTAGATTCTCAGTAATATGTTTTTGGGGCTGCTGACCAAAAGAAACATCTAACGGTTCCTTTTATTAAGTAGTTAGGGCCAAACAATTTAATAGTAGTAATTTGCTCAGCGTCCTGGGATGGTATGGTTTTCCTCAAAATTTTATAATATCCCAACTACCCCCTTTGGTTCATCATGGTATGCTCTGCTAATATTACTATTTCCTGTGATTATTTAATATATCCCAGGTACTCCTTGTGGATTCACTGTGGTCGTCAAACTGTATGCAGGAATCATGACTCTAGGGCCTTGGGGTATTTTCTTCCAGCCAGAAGAAGGGGAAAGAGGACGGGGAAAGCACTCCTGCTTTTTAATCACTTCTGCTTACGTTCCATTGGCAGTAAGTAGACATATTGCCATACCTGTATGCTAAAGAGGCTGGGGAATACTGCCTCCAGCTGGGATGTCACCTCTTAGTATGGAAACAAGAACATACATTTTTGGTAGGTATCCAGACCTTTGTGATCCTCTTGGCAACCTCTCCATCCAGACTTGAATTCTGTAGTGCCCTTTGGCTCTTTCTCAGCCCCCTCTGAGCCCTGGGGAGTGGCAGCAGGAACTCAAAGATACCCTGGATCTAATGTGCAACAGTCAGTGAGCATGCTCTTGGGTTCGTCTCCCCAAACACATCCCTCAGCCACTGCTACTCTACAACTCAGGTGCTGTGTGGAACACCTAACTCTTTTTTGAGGCTTCCAAGTTCATGGGCGACATTCTGGAAAGTTTAAACATAATCTCTTCTGCTGGTAATTCTAGACCTATCTTGAGTTTCTGTTACCAAATATTTCCACACCCGGCCCCACCCGTCAAGTAGGTGACCCATCCCCTAGAGGAAGGGTGGGGCTGGTCCTTGCATCAACCCACTATGTAATTCTCTTATCAGCTCTTCAAACTTCTTGCTTCTTAGGGGCAGGAACTAATTCAACATTGTTATACATCCTTAATCCAATTTATTGTTCTTGAATATACTTTATGTCCTTTTATTTCAATCTGTGTCTTGCAATTTTCCAAGTCAAGTTTTGAATGTTTCAAAATCCTTTTGTCTCTCAGATTCATAGATCTTACCTTTCAATAGCTTTGAAAACTATGGTCTCTGTCTACTCAAGACTACAAAAAGCCACAAATTTTACTCTCTGGTCTTTCAATATTTTTATTTTCTCCTCCCTTTGGCCATAAGCCTCAGCCTCTTGGGATAAATCTAGTGGTGGAAGATTTGCTGGGTTAAAAAAGAATTTCTCAGAAGAAAAATGTGTAGGGTAATAATTTAGACTACTATCCAACTTGTCTTCCGTATGTTTACTTCTGTGCTCATTTTCCCTTTTCTTTTCTGTTCTTTTCCTCCACCACTGTGTGTTGGTTGTCTTGGTAGTTAAACTTACTGTCTGGTCTATAAGTATTAGAATATTGAGTTCAAATTGCTGCAGAACCAAAGAAAGGAAGAACATTCCTCAGAAATCCCGGGCTCGGGCTGTATGTCTGTGGAGCTTGTTTCGGTCGCTTATAACATCGTTCTGAACTGTCTGCCTATCCTCTCTTCAATTCACTTGCCCACCCTTTATATAAGCTGCCATTCATGATAATTTCCAGACTGCAGGTGTCTTGTAAATTGGGCACACAAAAGAGGGGCTGCTTTTGGTCAATGATTGTAAGGCCACTAGCATGTCTTGGCTTTAAAACCATGGTATAAGGGTGAGATATGACTCAGGAATGGGTTGACTACAGCAGGAGAGGCAGAGGTTAAGAGACAAGTTTCTGTACAAGTTAAATACTGATTAGGTGGTTTAGTTTTTGTTTTTGTTTTTGTTTTTTGAGGAAGATTAGTGCTGAGCTAATATCTGCTGCCTATCCTCCTCTTTTTGCTGAGGAAGATTGGCCCTGAGCTAACATCCATGCCCATCTTCCTCTACTTTATATGTGGGATGTCTGCCACAGCATGGCTTGACAAGCAGTGCATTGGTCTGCACCCGGGATCTGAACTGGCAAACCCTAGACCGCTGAAGCAGAACATGTGAACTTAACCTCTGAGCCACTGGGCTGGCCCTGGTTTAGTATTTTTTTTTTCTACAAACACAAACAGTAACTTTTTATTCTACTGCTAGGCATCTTTGTCCCCATCTTTATCTTCAAAGAGGCTGGAAGACACTCCCGAATACTTTTAGGGCCAAAAGCATTTTCTGCATTGTTTAAGGGATGTAATTTTTTGCCTGACAGTTCTTTTTTTCATAATTTCTCTAAACCTCTTTTTCTACTTCTTTCCTAAATTGAGTGGCTACATCCTGGAGTAGCTGCCACTGACTTCCTCTATTTACTTTTCTTCTCCCACTCTTAATATCCTAGTACCTTCTCTTCATTCTGCAGTTAGAAGTACAAATGCCAAAAAAAAAAGAAAAAAAAAAACCAATTAGAAAAACACAACCCTTTCTTAGTGGTGTTTAACCTTGGCTGTAGATGCAAAATATTACTGTATTCAAGGTCCC